CTTATCAGCCCCACCCGCTCAATGGTAGTTTTAAATTGGAACTTCCATGGGGCCAGACGTCCCAAGGTAGGTAGTCACGGACTCAGGGATTTTGTCCATCGGTTTAACCCAGATTTTCTCTTCTTATGTGAGACAAAAATCCCCAACAATAAAGTCCATAGTATCTCAAATTTTTTACGTTATCCTAATTATCACATTGTTACCCCTGAAGGGCGAACAGGAGGACCAGCAGTTTTCTAGAAATCAGGGTTTTCTGTTTCTGTAATTAAGTCGACAGATACTACCTCTGCTTCCTGGATGTTAGGATTTATTTATGGTCTCTCAATTAAGCACCATAGAAATAATTTTTGGAGGAATCTAAATACTTGGATCCAATCGTTATCTATGCCTTTATTAATAGGAGATTTTAATGAGGCTGCCTCTTGTAATATTGTTGATTCCTTATTCTCTAGTGTTAATTAAGTTTAACCTCTACTGCATATAGAAAGTCTATTTATGACTTCAATCTTTTGGAATTAAATATTCAAGGAGGAGGAATTTCTTGGTCGAACAAAAGGAGTAAAGCTTCATTATTCGAACCTTAGATAGAGCAGTAATGTCTCCAGAATTATTTGAATTATTCCCAAATGCTGCTCTTTCCCTAGGCTAAAAATGGAGTTCTGATCATCACCCTCTATTATTAAACTTGGATCCGCCCACTCAGAATTTGCCTAAACCCTTTAGGTTCTTTGAAATGTGCCTCTCAGATCAATCCTGCCACCAGCTTATTGAAGAATCTTGGAAAACCAATAATAATGGTTATGCAACCTTTAAGCTTTCCAAAAAATTAGATGCCTTGAAGAAAGATTTAATTCATTGGAAGAAAAACATATTTATGGAGGAAATTGGAGGATCAAATTTTAAATGCGGAACAAATGAACTCCTACCAAAATCTGAAAGAGCTTTATCTAGAGTATGAGAAAACAAATTGCCAATTGGAAAGCTATTGGAGACAAAATTCAAGACAAACTTGGCTGCAGTTAGGGGACAGAAATACCAACTTTTTTCACAAAAGTACTCTTTTTAGAAAAAAGATAAATTTTATTGAGGGTATAAAAAATGGTCAGAAGATTTGGCAAACTTCGCATGCAGACATTACAAATACCTTCCTAGATTACTTCAAATCCCTCTATACTTCTCAACATCCAAATGAATTGGAAGAGCTTTCCCAGGTTATTTCCCCTGTCATTACTGACCAAGAAAATTTAATGCTCCTTCACCCTTCATCTCCTGAAGAAGTTAAATCAGCCCTTTTTTCAATAGGAAACCTCAAATCCCCAGGTCCTGACGGGATGCCTGCCCTGGTGTTTAAACAATTATGGGAGCTTATGGGACCGGGTATAATTTCAGTAGTTCAGGAGTTCTTTCAAAATAAGAAACTTCTTAAGAGACTGAATCACACATTCATCTGTCTCATCCCTAAAAAGGTCAATTGTACAAAAGTACAAGACTACAGACCCATCAGTCCTTGTAACGTAATTTATAAAGTGATAGCTAAGCTGATAACTAATCGGCTTTGCTCCATCCTGGATAAGTGTATAGCTCCCAACCAAGTTGCTTTTGTCCCAGGGTGTCAAATGTCAGATAACTCTATCTTAACTCAGGAAATGTTTCATTTTCTGAAACACAAAAAAAGAGGAACAAGTTATCTAGCTATCAAACTAGATATGTCCAAAGCCTATGATAGATTAGAATGGAATTTTCTCCTCAAAGTTATGTCTCTTCTAGGCTTCTCTGACTCTTTTTGTGATCTCATCAATTAATGTATTTCCACCGTTTCCTATTCCTTACTTGTAAATGGTACTTCTGAGGGTCATTTTTATCCTTCCCGAGGCCTTCATTAAGGAGATCCTCTCTCTCCTTACCTGTTTATTTTAGCCATGGAAGCTCTTTCGAGACTTCTATATAAAGCTGAACCAGATGGGAAAATCCAAGGATTCCCCATTACTTCCTCAACACCCAAAATTTCCCATCTCTTTGCTGATGATGTGATGCTCTTTTTAAGAGCTCACAGGGATGAATTTGATAATCTCGGGCAACTACTAGAAACTTTTCAGGATGCCTCTGGTCAAGTCATCAGTTTTGAAAAATCTGGAATCTATTGCAGTAAAAATATTCATCCTATACTTCAACACATGACCAGTAGGCAAATAAAAATTAGGCCCTTGAATCGACACTCTAAGTATCTAGGTCTCCCTCTTTTTTGGTCTAAAAATAAACATGCCAACCTGAATTATATTCTAGAAAACCTTCAAGCTAAATTAAGCAGATGGAAAGCTTCCGCCATCAGCCAAGCAGGGAAGGCAGTCCTTATTCAATCAGTCCTACAGTCAGTCCCTCTTCATGCGATGTCTTTAATTAAGGAGGAATCTTTATCTCACTTATTCATTCACTACCAATTTTCCCAAGCAGTTTTATTCACAAATCCTTGGAATCTCCATTTTCATAATATGCTCCAAAACTCTTGAGCATCGGACATTAAAAGATTGCATAATCTAATAAATGACCATGTTCTTTTTTTTGCAAATTCGCAGCTGGCTTGCTATTGCTTGGTACTTTATTTGGCATGCTAGAAATGAACAACTATTCCAAAATAATTCTATTGCTCCTTCCTCAATTGCTAAAACTGTGAATCAACTTTTTCATCTTTCTATAAATTTTAGTGATGATTCTCGAGCTTCTTTAAATCCTCCTTTGAATAATCATTTAACTCTCTGCTTGTCTCAACTAATAGATTATCTTATATTTACCGATGCAGGAAGGATTTCGAGCTCTCTATATACATTTGGAATCATTATCGTCTCCAGAAATTTACCTTGTTTAAAAATCATTGGAGGTCGCACTTCGTTAGTTAATTCAGTTCTTCAAGCTGAGCTATTTGCTGTTTTGCAGGCATTAAAAGAACTTCAAAGCTGGAGATTTGAGGAAGTTTGTATATGTTCTGACTCTCAACAACTGATAAGCTCCTTGAAAGATCGGAAAGAATACCCTTGGTCATGCCACTGGCTTTTTTTGAAATCAGAATTGTTATTAAGGAGCCTGAACTCAGTAAAGTTTTTGTATATAAATAGGAAGTTTAACTTGTCAGCCCATGAGGTATCCCAAATAGCCAAAACTCACTTGTCTCCTTTTTTTTTTTTGTTAGTTGTAATTATTTACAAGGGATACCCAGGGTTGAAGGCTGTATTTTCATCTCCTTTTGCTAATATATCTTTTACCTTTCAAAAAAAATAAAAAATTGTGGCATTGACATAGATGCGCTGCGATTATGCCAGATTGCCAGCGAAACTTGATGTTGTTTCTTTTTTGATAAGTCAGATGTTTGTTTCTGCATTCCTTTTTACCTGTCTGGATCAGGTAGGTACACATTATGAGTATATTGAGTAAGCACTTGAAAGCTTTTTTGACAAGATTAAAATCAACTTTTGATACAGGTATAGAATATTCATTGTGCTTACAATGCTGTGCCTATTAGATTGGGACTCCCTTTTTATTACCTATATTTTATCCCCTGTGGAATTTTAGTAAAGAGTGAGTTCTATGCAACTCTTAGTCTTGCAGATTAGGTGGGCCCTGAATGAAAGAGAGGATGGGATTTTGTTAGTAAACCTGTTCATGAGCTGAGCTCTGAGCTAGCCTATAAACATTTATACAACTTCCCAGGCCTGGTCCATTCAAATCTTAGAAAAAGCTAAGCCGGAGCCTAGCCCATAAACAGAACAGGTTTATTTGTGAGAAGGGAATAAGAGCTCGGATCTCCTATTCACAAACTCTTCCCACAATCCTACCCATATGCCACTATAACCCCGGATCAGAAACATCTCCCTTGTGGGCAGGGATGTATCAATGTGCCCAAAATGCCGATGGCCCAGTCGTAGAGATGGTGTCTTTGACGTCATTGTGGAAACTGTCTTTTGATGAGATTTTGGTTTGGGGGGAGTAAAGTCTTGCACCCTTGTGCTGAAAACATGGGATCCTTCTCCAATGATGGTGCTTTCCAAAAGGTGAAATAATTTCACAGCCAACCAAGAATGAAATCTTTTTAACTTTATTAACACAAGTATATATCTCATTCAATTGACTTTTCTTTAGTTATTCTAACAAAAGTGCATACCCTTTCTCTTCCTCTTTTAGCATTTAGACAGAGCAACCAACTGATGGTGACTCGATATTCGATAGAATCTCTGATTTATTGTAGCAGAGACCTGAGATCAAATCCCGCTGCCACCAGGGTTGTGGGGTTTAAGGGGATGGGATGGGCAACCCGCTCTGTGTAGCCCCGTGAAGTAAAAGGGCAGAGCACAGATTGGCCACGTGTATGGCTATACGCTGAATTTGTATATTGTCATCCATGTGAAGATGTTTTGTATATTGTCATTGATGTGGAGATGTTCCCTATGTGTAGCTGCAGTGTCATGTGCATAGCGTATGCATAGCATTTGCAAACGGCAATCTGATTCCATTACGCAGCTATTCCCATTTGGAACAAAATGTCGACACAACCTGCAAAGGTTCAGCTAGTACAGGCTGTATTTTCAATCTCTAATCCGCTATATTACAAAAAACCATTTAACAGAGCTGACCAGATTACTCGGTATTCGTTTTCTATATTATTTTAATATTTTAAATTTTTTATGATGACATCACAGGTTGATTCATTGACCCAGATGATCAAATCGTTCTCATTAACCCAGAGGAGAAAAGTGGTTCAACCTCTGGGCCGTGTTTTAAAACACTGAGGGCCTTAAAGATGCTATTTTGGCTGATGGGAACACTGGCTTGGGAGTTGGGATTCGGGACCCTTCTCTAATACGACTAGTTGCTTGCAACTCAACCGATAATGAAAGATCAAAATGGACTCAATCTAGAGTTCTAGACAATTCGGGCATGCTGAAATTATTAATTATTCAAATGTCGAGTGACACGGAGCAAGAGCAAGATAGCAAGATTGGCAACCTTAATGCAAAAACCCAGTTTGCAGAATTTGCAGTGATTGTAATAACATTTGACTGCCCTCCAGCTGGACCTGGAGAGAGAGATGTTTACATCCAAAAGCTAATGTATTCAAAACAAGGAGATTACATTGCTTCAAACAACCCATGTGGTCATGTTACATCATCACATGTTTGCAAATTTGTATCAGATTCAATGTTATATGATCATCTAGATTCACATTAAAAATAAATAAAACCCATCCAAAATGCATCCTCTTCAGCTGGTGTACCCAGACATCAACAGTTGCATACAACTTGCATCTTCTCTACTTGATACACACATACAACTCATGTCTTCTGTATACAAATGTTCTCCCTGGTAATTATATACCACAAGGGTGCTCATAGCAGCAAAGTAGATCCAATCTATTTGTTTGTTACTGAAGCACCTGTTCTCAACTCCTCAATATCATCAAACTCCCACTCACTAATCTCCTCATTTGAGTAACCCTTACTTATCTTCCCAAACTCTGACTCCAACTTTTCCAGTTGTGCTTTAGGGTCCAATGACTGTTCTGCCTTAGCTGACGGTGATTCCAGTGAATCATCATTCTTAGGTAACATTGTCACAATGGTCTTTGTGGGAGAAGGAGATGAACTCTTCTGTTGTACATTGTCAGATAGTGTCTCTGTATTTGGTGTTGGAGTCTCCATATCCAGTGTTGGTCTCTCAATGGATTGAAATTCTTCTTTTATTTGTTCAATAGCCTCAAATAGTTCTTTCGCCCTTGGTTCATCTTTCCTGTATGATTAGGGACCTTGTTTCATTTTCAAGAGATCAGGTACACCTAAAACCCATCTGAGAACTATATTCATATGTCCATTCATAACAAAAGCAAGCAGCAACAGAATACCATAATCTTACCTTGAAACTTTCCCCTTTTTACGATAAAAGTACTCTTTCATGTTGTCCACCACACTCAAGGCAGTTATGATCTGAGAAAAATGAGAAGAGATAGTATCAACAAAAGTGATAATGGAAAGTCAATGTGTCCTTGAAAATAATCCATTGTTCTGAATCATCTGATAACATGACCCAAGATCAAAACGACAATATTCATTTAAAATAACAAGCAAATATAAAGATTTGATTGCTATAAAACTAAAAAAATACTCTTTAAAGAACAATGAAGATTCAACTAAATTCAAACTTTCCATCTGAATCATAAACTTTAATCAATTTTGAAACTGAGCTGAAAATAAAGAAACACAAGAAAGTAAGCAGACTCATAGAGGAAAAGGACAAACAGTAAAATATAAGAACTCTAAGTAGATTCATACCTTTGCTTCAGAATCCAGATATTCTTCCTCAAGATTATTTCTTGAGTTTAATGCTTTTGCATCATCAGTATCTACACCAGAAACCATCTCTTGCCTGTTTTGTGAAATAAAGAAAGCAATAAAAGGTTTTTTCTGGGGGTATTAGTAAAATACTTAATTGTAGTCCAGTAGAAGTGACAAGTGACAACCTCTTCAGTTCAAGAAAACTGCTTTACCTGTCATCTAGATTTTTCAAGTTTTCCGCAAATTTCCTGATATGGATGATAGAAGGACCCAATGCTCTCTGTGCAAGTGATACAAGTTGGGAAAGAATATCATCTATATCATTCAGTGGTAAGTGGGTAGGATAATATTTTTTCAATACATACTGATTTGTTGATTGAACCAATACCTTATAAGCAGAAAGATGATGGATAACCAAGTCCACAAAATCTTGCTCGTATTTCTCCAGCTCATCACTTGAACATATATGAGAAATAGAAAGTAAGAAAATGGATATTCCATCTGATGATACAATGCTAATCAGAATATGAACACATAAATCTCAGAAAGATGTCAGGCATTCACCCCCTTCAAGAGGAAAATGTTTGCATAAGATTTCATATGCCAAATAACATAGACATGCATACCTTGCCTGTTTTTCCTTCTGCTCTGTGTATGAGGTCTGGAGAACCCACATATCTTGAAGGAAATTGACCCACATATTGACAACATCTGCTTCTACTCTACATGAATAAATGGATCTTGACAGATCCTCTTCCTATTATTTAAATAAATGTTAGGCAAGCAGATATAATCACATTGAATGATGAAAAGAAGATACCAAAGTACAATATATTAATTCCAAACAAATCAGACCTTTGTTTGCAGGTGTGCAACAATCTGATTGCTTGCCTCTTCAAAGTGCTCCCTTTCTTCCCTGGTATTTTGAAGGCGTGCACGAGAAGCTACCAAAGATAAGTTAACCTACAATAAACGCCCCAATAAAAAAGTATTATTCTTTCCATAGCTATCAAGGCTATTCCAAGGCAACAAGGCATTTTCTGGGTGTACCTTTATACTATGCCATATTTGAATACTTAGACACCCTTCTTGGGCAAGGAAGGGCAAAGTTTGCACCTTACCATATGTGTTTGTGTGTATATATTATTATGCTATCCATTACATATTTGCTTCAATTCTTGGTGCTGTCACTTAACTTTTTCGAATCAATTCAATATGTTGTAATACTCATTACTTGGATTAACTATGTTATTGACTTGTTGCTTTACTTTTTGGTTTGAATTCTAGATATATGAAAATCCATGATTATAAACATGCCTTGATACCTTTCTGAATGAAATTCATGACATAGCAATCTGAATCTCTCTCATAATTCAGATCATTAATTCCCCATCTTTACCCACCACATTCAACCTAGGACTTTTCTCCTTTTTGTCATCAGTTTGGTACTACTAGAACAAAACCCATAGGTATCAAAGAAAGAAAAAAGAGAAATATATCTGGCTACAACCACAATTGACCAAATCAAACTTTTTGTCGAATCAATTCTTCTAATTTCAACTACAAGGACTCTACACAGATTCAAGACGAAACTAGAAAACTGAGTCATAGTTGTCAAGGTCTCATCTAAGCACCAATCTAGGCAACAAGATACCCTTGTTTGAGTGCCACATCCGAACATCACAGCTTATATTAAAAAAAGAGCCTGTCTAGGTGACAAAAATCACTAGGTGGGTGCTTTATTTCAAGATTACTAAGGATATTACTATTTGTGATGATACCTATCATATATTACATATATTGTTTATGATTTATTTGAATCTTTTAACATTACAATACAAAAGATCCAATGCTTTAAGAAGAAAAAAGGAAAAAAAAAGAAAGAATAGACGGCTAAAGAATTTTTCCTCTCCTCTCTCTCACACACACTAAATGGAAAAAGGCTCTGCCCATCAATCTTTTCCTTTCAATTATTCTCTAAAAAATTTAGTATAAAAATAATATCCTTCTTTAGTTGATAATAATTTTTTAACATGTAGTTACTGTATCAAATGCTTACTATGCCATAGTGTTATGTTTTAATGTCGAAGTTAATTTATTTAAGATGCTATTGTTTTTAGATACAATGGTTTTCTATGATTTGAGAGGAAAATTAATATTATTAGCAATGAGCATTGCTATTTTTTTTAATTCATATGCATAATGATTAATATGTAAAATTAGGTAATTAACCTGTGATCAAAGTTTTGGTTCTCCACTGTCACCTAAAATCACCTATACACTTTTAAGAACCATGAAACTAACACAAAACAACTATTAAATAATTTAGAACCAAGGCAAAGCTATAGTATATGGGTAACTCATAGGGACACTAAACTAAAGTCCAACTCTTAAAACAACCTTAATGCAAGCCCTTTTTTTTAGTTTTTTTTTTTTTCAATAATAGGTCAGGGGGTAGGTCTTTGGAATATCCACACCCTGAAATGGGTCAAAAGGCCAAAAGGCCTGTATTTCATGTTTCAGACACCCATGGATACGATATGGTAATGACCAATACGGGGAATATCATATTGAAATTTTGAACCTTGCTCAATTGCCGTCACCTGTTGAGGTACCATCCCTCATCCCTCAATTTAAGATCCAAATTCCTCTTCCCTTTGAGAGGATAATTTATGTGGAGAAAGTGGTTTAAAGGTGTGGTAGGCGCGCTCTGGGCGAGGCACTCCCAAAATTCCTGGGTGTGCATAGAGCTCCCAAAATGTGCATATTAGAAGCATTGAAACCTGTGAGGTGTATGCCTCTTATATAAAGGTGCACGAGGCATGTACATTTTAATGCTGCATACTCGAAGTGTACGCCTCACATGCCTCATTTTAAAATAAAACACTCCAAATTACTGTATTATTTCTAACTTGTAATTAAATTGGTGGACATGGAAATGTTGTGGTCCATGCCATATGCTATCATAAATTTACAAAGGGGGAAATAACCCTCCATTCGACTTATTTGCAATGAGAAGAAAAACCCAAACCAGGGCTTGAGTTGCTCAGATGCTGCAAGCCTGCAACTGCCTCAAACTTTTTTTTTTTTATCAGTAACAGTGAAATTTTATTAATGATAAAAACAAGATTACAACGGGATGAAGCTAAAAGGTCTTAACTCCAGTTACCCAAGAACTTTCTGATCTTGTAGTGATTACAAAACAACCCAGAATAATGTGTATTTACCCCTTGCCTAGCTAGACCATCAGCCAATGCATTTGCACTTCTCTTTATCCAATTACATTGAATTTCCATGTCCCTGGTTAACCATTTATATTTCCTCTTTTCATTGCTGTATTTCCACATCATAGCACTGTCCTCTGTTAGCCATTTCACCACCATTACAGAATCACCTTCTATAACCACCTTTTTGAT